GAGCCCAATCCCAGTGCACCACGTGGGGATTGCCCATGGGTCCAGCATATGCGGAAGCGAATCATGACTGCACCCCTGGCCATATAAGGAGTTGTTGTGCACAGAGAGCGCTCACCCACGGGGGGGTGGAAGGCGGAAACCAGCGCCATCTTGTAGGCGCGGTCCTTCGCAGCTCTCCACACCTACTTAGAACAAGCTTAACAAAGCACAGGGACCGGGGTTCAATCCCCCAGCACCACATGCCAGCCAGCCCCGCCCCCTGGTGGGCTGAGCTGGCCATACACACACACACACACACAAATAAAATTTAAAAAATAAATAAATAAAATATAAAAAAAAAACCTAGAAACCACCTCCAGGAGACATTGGCACCTCAAAAATCTAGCGTAGTAGTCAACAGCGACGTTTAGCTTTGCAGTGCTGGAGCAGCTCAGGGCCTTGAGCATGCCAAGCAAGGGCTGCCACAAGCTACATACCCAACTTCATGAATGGCTGTTAAACACATGTGTAAGCTGTGGCAAGATCATTTTATTTATTACTCCAGACAGTTACATGGCGCTTCCTCCTCAGCTTCTGGGAACCACAGGGTTCAAGTTCAAAGCCCTTTTAGAAGTCATACTCCATAATCAATGTAAACTTTAAAAGTGGTTAAGTAATGCTCACTATTGCTCTGTGCTCCCATCCTTATGATAGTCAAAAGCCTAAAAGGCAAAAACATTACTGATCTTAGATTCTTATGTACCAAGCGCTAAGATGTACAAATTCCCTTACATGCTAAGCTCTTCACCATCCATCGTAGGTATAAACAACTGTAAGAGAAATACAGCTTCCTGAAACAACAGAAAAAAACTGAGGATGTGATCAAAAAATGCTGATTTCTAGAAACTAACTTTAGAAAAAATAATGAAGGATTACCTGCCAAAAAATGCAACTTTCATGTGTCTCCGGGAAAGCACCTCACCAATAACAGAAAGCTTGTTTTTATACCCCTGTATTTCCAGCAGATCCTCCTCAGTGGCTATTCGGTCAAGTTCTGGATTCCGGTATGTTGCTGTAAAATTAAAATGGTATTAGACAGAGTAACACAAATATTTAGTTATACAACACAATACCCAGATTGCATAGATTTTGTCTTTGTTCTTTAACATGCCAAATGATTTCCAAAATGCTTGTCATATCTGAGTCATTTGCTAAGGGTACATCCCCCACTGCAATGTCCAAAAGAATTAATAACAAGTTACCTATAGAGCCTGGGTCTGAAAAGTAGAAAAATCTTTTCTTCCTTTTTTTTTTTTTTTTTAGGACAGGATCTACAGGGTCTCACTACATAGAATGGACTTGTAGTCATCCTGTCTTCAGGCTCCCAAGAGGTGGGATTACAGGCGCATGCCACCACATCCAGTCTCAATCTCCTTGGGGGGAAGGGGCAGTGATCTGCCTAAACAGGCACTTTAATCCGCTGAGCTTTTTGGCCAGGCCTAAACCTTTTATTTTCTTTCAGGAACAGGAGATAAGATAAACTGACATTTACATTCTTATAACCTCTTTTTGAAGGTAAAGACAGGCTCCAGTTGAGTATTTAAATGATCTTAGAGACAAACAATGCCATATAAAACATTACCCAGCAGTTCATCTAACAAAACTTAAATGAACAGAAAGGGTGAAGTACAATTACACTCACTTCTGGTTTCATTTTACTCTTGCTCTCCCATATTCCTGATTTTGCTTTTTCCTGGGTGGGGTAGTTACTGGGGACTGAACCTAGAGCCACCAGAGTCCCAGCTCTTTTTACTTTTTAAGACAGGATCTCATTATATTGCTGGGTAAGAGAAGGTTATAGAAACAAGAAAAACAAGAAAAAAAAAAAAACTTGATTCTATGAACGTACCATAATCTCAGAAGAAATGTCAATAGTTATCTCCAAACTAATGGCTCAGGCTGGACTTTGACCCTCCTGCCTCAGCCTTACAGAGTTCTGGGATTATACTACCCTACTTCACTTAATTTACCTCTCTTTTTAAATTCATCTTTTTAAAAATTTGTCTCTTTTTGGAAACATTTTTTCCTAAGGTTCTACAAGTCTGCATTCTTGGCTTACTTGCTAAATTAAGGAGACTGGTATAAACTGTGGAATGCTTGATTTTTCATTAGAGCGCTTAGCAGATGTTAGGCAAGTGGCTCTCTGTTGTGCCTTGGTTCCTTAAACTTTAAAATGAGTGATAACAGCCTATCTTATGGTAATATGAGAAGTAAAAAAAAACCATTGTTAAGGTTTCTGTCCAGGTCCCTCCCAAAGCCCATGTGCTCACAGGTGGGGCTTTTCAGAGGTAGCTGGTTTAGGGTGTGGAATGATGGGATTAGGGTGTGTGGCTGGTCCACCAATGGGTTTGGCCTCGTTCTCAGCATGAGCAATAGAAAGATCATCTTGGGTGTGAGCACTACCAGCCCCTAAGGAACAGAAAGAGAGCTGCGGCTTCACTACTCTGTTGCCTTCTGCCTGCCATGCTATGAACTGTTTCTCCTCTGTGATGCCACTCAGCCACGCCACCCTGCTTTGGGAACTGTCAAACACGGACTGAAACCTCTAGAAGCTGTGAACTACAGTAAACCTTTCCTTCTTTCAGTTTGGGTGTGTGGGGGGGGAACAGTCACTGATGCAGTAAAGTGCTTAGAAGTAATTATTTCTTAATTATATCATTTAATACTCCACATGGTAAAAATGGGGTTCATTCATTATGGAATCCCTCACAGTACACAACACAATGTTCTATATGTATGCTTCATACCTAACGCAGAAAAACA